CAGTTTCACTGACAGCCGCTAGAGGCGCTTCCGCGCTTCTCACTGTGATTTTCACAGTGAGAAGATGCCAGCGTCCAGAGGAAAGCATTGAGAATGCTTTCCTATGGATTGACTGAATGCGCGCGCGGCGCCCGGCGCTGGTGAAAGGTAAGTGTTTAACCCCTTCCTCCAACTTCAGCCCGGCGGGAGGGGGACCCTGAGGGTGGAGGCACCCTCAGGGCACTAAAGTGCCAGGAAAACGAGTTTGTTTTCCTGGCACCATAGTGGTCCTTTAACAGAAAAGTATTAAATACAGAAACAATTTGAAAACACTTAAACAGAGGGCGTTCTTTGCTGCCATCTAGTGACAAACATCAGTAAAGCTCTGAAACAAAAATTAAAATGCCATTATCCAAGCTAAGACATTACTATTATTACTATTATTATTATTATTATTATTAAAGCATTTAACAAGCACCAACAAATTTCAAAGTTCTTTACAATAATATATATGAAGCAATATGTATTGACATACAAAGCAGTGTTAACAGATACAAGAGGTGAAGAGGGCCCTGTTCATATGAGCTTACAATAAATGTAAGAAAATGAAACGAGCATTCTTGCCAACTGTCCCATTTATGTCGGGACAGACCCATGTGTTTGGCACTTGTCCCAGCAAAAACAGTCCTGATATCTGTCACGCATTCTACTTTCAACCAGACTGGGGAGAAATGTTCCTGCATACCCACTGAATGATGAGCTAATAACATTTCTTCTGTCACACCCACCCTGCCATATAACCAACTGTGTCATAATAACCACCTTGCCATATGCCCAAACTTTGTCATAAAAACCACCCTGCCATATACCCAAACCATGTCATAATACCCACCTTGTCATAATAGCCACTTTGCCATATATACTATTCTGTCATAATATCCATCCTGCCATTTACCCCATTCTGTTATAATATCCACCCTACCATTTACCACAATTTTTTTTTTAAATACCCTGCCATATAACACCCACCTTGTCTTAAATACCACTCTACGATATACTATATTCTGTCATAATATCCACCCTGTCATATTCCCTAACCTTGTCATAACATCCACCCTGCCATGTACCCTAACCTTGCCATTATAGCCACCCTACCAAATACCCCCACCTTGTCATAATACCTATCCTACCATATAAGCCTACCTTGTCATAATAACCACTCTGCCATATACCTTAACCTTGCCATAGTGCCTTGTCTGCAATGTAATTATACCTTGCCATAATAACCACCTTGCAATATTATACCCACCCACCCTGCCATATAACACCGATCTCCTTGCAATATGACATACACCATATAACATCTACACCTGCCATATGTTATACACCGTATAACATCCACACCTGCCATATAAGAACAATCCCACCATACTCCACCTCCAGTTCTGTCCTTCCAGCCAAATTATATGCTTTCATCCTGTTATAAAACACACATTCATAGTATCCACCAAATCTGTCAAATACTAATTTCTGTCAGATATCTTTCTACTGCTAGTCATGTTCATCCACTTACATACTTTAACATAGTCACATTCACCCATCCAATATCACAAACTAATTTCCAAAGCCCCACCTACACAAACCAACCCAGTCACATACAATCATACGTCCACTGTCAAATACACATTCCCCACATGCTCACATTCACAGATTACATCTGCAGTCACACACATTACACATACATATGCTGTCATACACACTTTCAAACACAAAGATATTGGACAAATATATACTAGGAAGCAGGAGGTGTAACATTTTTTATGGACTACATAGGCGGTTGTGGACTACATTCGCATAAGGGGCAACTGGCTTTAAAGCAAACTTAATATTATGAAAATTTCTTCATAAGTATTAAAAGTGTTATTTTTTTGTATGACCACATTTGGTTGTGCCACATTGCCATGCCGTGTTAAGCTAACCACTACGTCACCCCAGTATTGTTGGGTCCTACATCAATTTTAACGTGGGAGATCAGCATGCCAACTGCAATGCTTAAGAGCAAGAATGCACTCTTTCTAAGATTTGAGAGGATGCCATCTGGTAATCCTAGAGGATGATTAAGAGGTGTAAATAAATACAAAAAAAAACTAGTCCTGCGCTCACTCCCATCACTCCTGGGCGGCAGCAACGAGCACAGTACACATCAGCCCCAATACATACAGTAAAAACCAAAGAAAAAGTTACCTGCGCTCTCTCCTAAATCCCTATGTATATTTAAACAAATGTAGGTAACTTAGTTTACTCCAATAGCCATTAGAGGGAATGCCCGCCTGCCAACGTCAATGCAGATCCCTCAGATGGGTTCCTACACTACAAGGTGAAAGGTCAATATAGGAACCCACCTGAGGGTGTCTGCCTTGACGTTAGCAGGCGGGCATTACCTCCAATGGCCATTGGAGTAACTAAATTACCTCAATTTGTTTAAATATACATAGGGATTTAGGAGAGAGCGCAGGTAACTTTTTCAAGAGGTATAAATAAACCCAACACCCCTGTGGATATACACTGAACAGAATTATAAATGCAACATTTTTGTTTTTGCACCATTTTTCATGAGCTAAACTCAAAGATCTAAGACTTTTTCTATGTACACAATAGGCCTATTTCTCTCAAATATTGTTCACAAATCTGTCTAAATCTGTGTTAGTGAGCACTTCTCCTTCGGCACGATATACAAAGAAAGATAAGCAAAGACAAATGCAGGAAGAAGATGAAGAAATAGAAACAGAACCAAAGGATTATGGATTGGAATTAGATTCGGTGCAAGAGAACTCACAAGAAGGGCATATTTCTTTAAGGGTAACAAATATAATAACAAACATACATCAAGAACTATCGGAATTAGGTGATCGAACCGATCAATTAGAGAAAAAAATAGGACGAACTCTGTAAAGCACACAATGTGCTGGATGAGAAAGTTAGTATATTGGTAGAAGAAAATAAGAAATTATGGCATAATGTCGCAGACCTTGAGGATAGGTCTCGTAGAAACAACGCGAGATTTAGAGGTGTCCCTGAAGCCGTTTTGGACGATCAACTGGAGGAATATGTTAAAACATTATGCATCACTTTGGTTCCGTCTATGGATAAGAGCATGTGGAGAATAGAGAGAGTACATAGACTTCCGAGACCTATAAGGCTTGCAGCGGATACACCAAGTGACATTATCGTATGCTTTAACCGATATCTCGCTAAACAATCCTTATTCTCAGCAATTCGCAAGACTTCTGTTCTCCCTGCCCCATATGAAGCATTAACTCTTTACATGGATTTATCTCTTATTACCCGAGCAGGACGCCGGGAACGGGCTGGAATTACCAAAGTACTAAGGGACAATAAAATACCCTATCGATGGGGTTTCCCAACAAAAATTCTACTGTGAAAAAATGGGAAATTAATAGCAATAGATGACAGAGCTAGTGGCTTAATTACTTTAAAAGAATGGGGGATCGGGCATACTGCAGAAATAGCAAACCTAGTTCAAAGGGTGAATTTGATAAATACTCAACCAGAATGGAAGAAAATGGGGAAAGCCTCAACTAAAACATAAAAATTATAAAGGTTTGAAGTAAACGAAAAGGGGAGGAGGAAGAAGGGGAGGGAGGGGGAAAAAGTGAGGAGAGGGAAGAAAACAAATAAATAAAGGAATTAATTAAAAAAAATATTAAAAAAATAGGCGCATATATATATATATAAAGTGACTTTCTCATTACTTATGTTGGGATTAAGGATAAGTGTAATTATTAGCTAGTCAGCTATACATATTTTTAGTTGGCAACTAAAACAGTTTGCACCAAATTTGAATTATTGGGGAAATTAAAAGATGTCTTGTAAAGGCACGGTGGAATGGAGATCTGAACTCTCTGTTATTTGGATTAAAACGCAGTTTGGGCAAGACGTTTAGAATTTTGCCAATGTGACTAGCTTAGCTTGATTAGAAGTATGGAGTTACTCAAATTAGGTAGTTTAAAAGCATTTAAGAGTTTGCTCCTAACACTATATAAGCATTAGCATCCTCAAGGGATGGTAAAAGGCAGATATCCCCTCCTTAAACCCATGGGGTTTACTGATTGGCGGTATAGCTAGAGGTGTAAAAGGAGTTAGAGAGATTGGAAAGACTACAATTAAAACTGATGAGTAATGGCAACTATCAGTTATAATCAGTTATATATATTATTATTTGGCAACCAAAGCAGCAATCCACTTAACTAAAATTAAGGGAGATATTAAAATAATGTCTTGGAAAAGCATGATGGAAATTGAGATATCTAATGCATACTTGTTAGGTTTTTGACAAAAGAGACTTAAATGCATCTTGGGTAAAGAAGTGTGGAGGTATTCACAATAAGCTAATCTTTAAGCAGTCAAGATCCTTCCCCTAACACTATATAAGCATCAGGATCCCCAAGACCTGTAAAGGGAGATTTGTCCTCCTTAAAACCATTGGGGTTATTGTTTAGGGGTATAGATAGAGCTATAAATAGAGGAGTAGGGGAGGCTTGGAAGACTATAATTGGAAATGAAGAGTAATTGCAAATTTTAGTTATGGTCAGTGATATATACTAATAGTTGACAACCAAAGCAGTACTGCATGTGATTAGGAACATGGGGAAGATTAACTACGTTACTACGTTAGGGTATGGAAGGAGTGTAAGCGGACAGTGTTAAAATGGAGGTCCCTTTTTCTCACCTGGACAGAAAGAATAGCTGCGATTAAAATGTTCATCCTCCCTAGGCTACAATACAGTTTTCGGAATCTCCTGCTGTCTATAACACATTCTTATTTTAAATCAATTCAAAAGGATATCATTCTCCAAACATCTAAATGGTCAGCCTTAGGTGTCACACATGTACATAAAATGTTTGGTACAAATGGCATCCATTCTTTCCCAACACTGCAGGAACGGTACAATTTACCTTCGAGGGATATTTTCATGTACTTGCGTGTTAAACATATCTTAATGTCACAATCGATTGAGCACATTGACCCGCTGTCACTTAGTCATATAGGTGCACAATGTTACCATGCCAGACTGATACGTCCTTCTTGCAAACTTCTTTCCCTATGTTATATGACGCTGTCTGATATTCACGGGCCCTCCAAACTACCTTACATGAAGCAGTGGGAGACATCGTTAGGAGTAACCCCGACTCTCATAGAATGGGAACAAGCCATCATCTACACCAAACAATCTTCGAAGTGTGTCACACTATGGGAAGCCTACTTTAAAATGTTAATGAGATGGTACTTGGTCCCGAGCAGGATTCACAAAATTTACCCCAATTCTCCCTCAATATGCTGGCGCTGCAACTCCAGTTTAGGTTCTATAGAACATATATTTTGGCACTGTCCCAACCTGCAACACTTTTGGAAAGCCGTCCAAACAACCATTCATGCGATCTGTAAGACAACATTCCCACTAGTCCCAGAAATTTACTTGCTCCACATTATCCCTAACCTACGTGATATACCATCTAGAGACGCAGTATTAAATATATTAGTAGCAGCAAAAATCAGCATTGCAGCCCATTGGAAAGACACCAAGTCCCCTTCTTTGAAGGAGGTTCTAGGTAGGGTAGAGGTTACATACCACCACGAATGCGAATGGGCAAAAGGGGGTAACGGGTCACACCTTCTGAACAGATGGAAAAATTGGGAGTCTTTTAAAGATTCTCATGCTACAGTGTAACGAGCTGCACTAGCTACAGGTATCCCACTACTATACTGTATTCCACTATAATAAAAGTATTATAACACACAAGATGCGCCCTACTGTACCCTTCCCACTCACCTCTCCTCCCCTTTCCGTTATTATGGTTATTTCATGTATATATTTGTAACTGTTTACTTTATATTATGTTCTTATCTATGCTAAGTATATGACACATAGCTATTTACTACGGAGTAGCAAGAATGTTTAGAGTGTTATGTCCACACCATTGGTCGTGGAGATCTCAGGTACAATGCATAACCTTAGCCAATTATCTATAAACCCTCACAATACCACAACACATGGCAAGACCACCTTGTCTATCAGTTACCAATATTGGCGATACTACGTACTCTACCCAAACTGGCCGAGCTATCCCTGCATTACTTTCACAGTTGTGTTTTTCCTTTCTCTCAATGCTATGCCTTCATATTTGCTATCCTGTTATTGAATACTTGGTTTGTACACCAGCCGGATAATAATGATGTAGAAGGGAGAGCGGTTCAGTTCAGTCGTGTATAAAATATGGTGACAACTATCGAACTTTCCAGGCTACATCAATAGAAATATTTGCCTGTGTATCCCCATATGTATGTATGTATGTATCTAATGCGCCAGACAACTCCTTCCTTCATGATGGTATACTTATATAAGCTATGTATAAAGCGCAACGAGATAATAAGGCTACTGTACATGTTATTACCGTAATTTTCTTTTCTTTTTTCTTATTTGTGTGTTTTTGTACTATGCTGTAATGTATTATGTTATATGAGGAATCTGACTCCTCTATTGTTACCTCTTTATAAAACAATAAAGACATACATTGAAAAAAAAAAAAAAAAAAAAGGATATCATTAACTTTATTTGATCCAAAGGGAGCCCCTGGGTGTCTATGAAACTTTTGAGAGCACCAGCTAGGGTAGGAGGACTAGCGGTTCCTGACATTCGCACTTACTACCATGCATCTATTTTAGCGGCTGGTATGGCACATTTTGATAATCACAACCCTCCTCAGTGGGTTCAAATGGAACAACACATGATGTCGCCATATGATATCACACACATTTTATGGCTTCCCAAACAGTTTCGGCCCTTCTTAAAAACAGTCCCGGATCAGATAGCCTTGTTAATAAAAATTTGGGATATACACAGATATAAGTTAAGTAGACAACTAATCTCCCTTGCTACTCCTACGGAGGCTCTCATATATTGCATTCCTACGTTTTATGCAAAACCATGGAGGGAGACATATTTACATATTTAATTCACTTTTATGCTAATTCAAGGCTACAGGAATTTCAAACTCTCCGATTACTTTATGACATCCCATTGACCTCTCAATTCTCTTATAGAGAATTCCATTATTTTATGCATAAACAAGGAATACATCCTTTATCCCAGGATATAATTATTGATCAACTCACAATATGGGAAAAATTATGTATTGATAAAAAATTATCTACACTATGCAAACCAATCTCCACATGCTACCAAGTATTATTAGACTATACATCTCTTTCAGAGGCTACACCTGGGAAACAATGGGTAGAAGATTTGGACATTGAGATTTCTAGGGAACAATGGACTGATATATCCATAAATACTAAGAAATTGATTAAATCAGCCTCACTCATAGAACAAAATAAGAAAATGATTTATAGGTGGTACATGGTCCCAGTGCGGATCCATAAAATGTATCCTTCTACTCTACCTACTTGTTGGAGGTGTCAATATAGAATATTGGATCGATCATACATATATGGTGGAAATGCCCATGAATTCAATCCTTTTGGAAGGAGATACACACTTTTCTACAAGATCTTACAAAAATTTAATTGTCATATGATCCCCTAATATTTTTGTTATTGCATCTCCCCCGATTTATACCCAAACACCTTAAAAAATGAATTCTCCATGTAGTATTAACGGGTCAAAGCTGTATCGCATGAGGGTGGAAAACTCCAAAAATTCCTAAAATTGAGAGGGTATACACTGAATTGGATGAGCAGAGGCTTTATGAATGCTGCTTTAATAAGGAATATCAGTCTACTCAAATTGTGAAAGCAGCATGGGATATTTGGGACAAGTGGAGATTGGTAACCTTAAATAGGGAGGAGGAGTAATGATTTTAAAGAATATACTACACTGTTTATAAAGATATTGTGATCCTAGAATGTTCAGAAAGAATTAATTATTTACAAATGAAATGTGAACCTTTAACTTATAAGTGATCAGATTGGAGTACTAAGGTAATGTTAATGCAATTAGTATCTATTGTTGTGTATTGATAACATTTGTTTAAGTGCTCTAGTTGGAGTTAAGTGACAGAAGATATTTGGATGTTTCTTACTTTGTTTTTTTTCTACCCCTTCCCCCTCCTTTGTGTTTTGAATGTTTTTGTGTTTTGAATGCTTTTGTATCTGCATTGTAATGACTTATATGATGCTAACCTATTCTATTTGATCGTTTTTGTATCCCTAACTTATGAAAAAATAAAAAATCTTCAAGATAAAAAAATAAAAAAATAAAAAAGAAGCCATCACAGCCATGCCTACTAATGGCATGGCTGTGATTGGCCAGTGTAGCATGTGACCCAGCCTCTATATATAAGCTGGAGTCGCGTTGCGCCGCACGCATATGAGGTCTTATTAGTGTAGGTAGAGGATGCTGCCGCTGATAGGGACAGTTTAGGAAAGAATTCTGCAAACTAGTACATTGGTGGGGTGGGGTGCACTTCATATCTGAGAGTCAAATAGAAGCTGCAAATACCGCGGTTACATAGGAGTTTTAAAAAGTCAATTTTTTTTGGTGCTAAATAGTATTTTAGTGGGGTGCACTTCATATCTGAGAGTCAAATAGAAGCATCTTATAGTGTGCTTACAGTGCAGTTGTAAAAATTCTTATTTTCTGGGTGCTAATCTGCTAAATAAGTACATTTTGGGGCATGTGGTGCACTTCATATCTGAGAGTCAAATAGAAGCATCTAATAGTGTGCTGCGCAGTTGTAAAAATTCTAATTGTTTTGCTGCTAATCTGCTGCATACATTGGAGTTTTAAAAAGTCATTTTTTTGTGTGTGTGTTAATTAGTATATTTGGGGTGTTCACTTCATATCTGAGAGTCAAATCGAAGCGTAACTTTGATTCGAATTTACTACATCGGTCACTTGTAATATTGTTTCACACCTAGAACACTTGTTACACAGATCTAAGTGACAGAAAACAGATTTATATTTTCTATACTAGAAACTACCAGATAACAAGCTGCTATATTTAAACCAGTTATCAATAGCTAAGAGGTAGGTACTTAAACAATATTGTAATTCTGGGGCAATACCCTCACAAGTCAAACTGAGAGGTCAGTTTATAGGGAAAACTGTTGCCTGGATACAATTCTAAAACAATTACCATATGTCCTTTACAGACTTTACATGCTGGAAAAACACATGTGCCAACTGCAAAGTTCGGGTTCGTACCAGATTTAACAATCCATTTGTAGTTTCACAGTCAGGTGGGCAGTCCGGTGACCAGGACCCAGAGACTGTCTGGGCGGCGGTCGGACGACCGGAACCCAGTATGCCTGATGTTGAAGTTAGGAGTCAGAGTGTGGAATGGATTAGCAAGGTCTGGTGCAGGGTAACCGCATGCCCCCTGGTGTTGAGCACCAACGTTTGTGTGGCCACATACCAGGACCCTGATGCAGCTTCAGTAAAAAGAGTACTGGATACCAGAAGCCATCACCAGACTGATCCGCAACTTGGAACAGTGTGACATTCACTGTAGTGGCTGTGCGCTCTTTTGGCATTGTCACCCTGCTGCTGCTCGCCTGTCTGCGCTGCAGCGCAACTTCGGCCTTCCCGCGCACCGCCTCATGAGACTGTGCGAGCAGCAGCAGGGGATAGTGGAGTTTCAGCTGCAGCACTCACGGGTCAGTGGCTCTGCACCAGACTTCCCTCTAATTGATCAGAGTTAAAGGATTTCAAGTGGACTCATTACAATTACAGGGCCTCTAAAGAGTCCTGTATTGTTATTTGTTTTCACTACCTTTCTGCGTCGGGAGTGGGTCATTTGCGCACCTGCTGCCTTCCTTGCATGTGGTAGCCATTTTTCAGGGTCCTTGTACAGAATGGAACCCTGATTCCCTGTTACCCGTGGTCACCATGGTAGACGCAGAAACTGGCATCGAAAGCTGATATGGATGACATCCGCATGCAAAGTCACTGCCCCGGGGATGTGCCATTGGCCCGAGGTTCTCTAGAGTCAACAAAGTGCCTGTGCAACTATAATCTCAACAGATACTCTGCGGAACAGAGTTGTCTTTTTTTTATATGTCCCAATATTTTGGGGGCTACCCCAATTAAAAAAAAAATATATATATAAAAAAAAAAAAAAAATATATATATATATATATATAGTGTTAGCTACCTCATCTTCCTCCTCCACTGCTGCTTCCACCTTCACCGCCTCCTCAACCTATGGGTCACTTAGTATAAACTATGTACACATTAGCAGAGGCTTGTGAAAGCCTTTTCTCCATGCATCAGAACTGCAAGAAATGCACCGCAGGCTGGAAATGTTTCTTTTTTTCTATGTCCCAATATTTTGTGGGCTACCACAATTAAAAAAAAACAACAAAACATAAAAAACAGTGTTGCTACCTCATCCTTCTCCTCCACCGCCACGGTCACCGCCTCCTCAACCTGTGGGTCACTTAGTATAAACTATGTACACAATAGCAGATGCTTGTGAAGGCCTTTTCTCCGTGCATCAGATGTTGAGCATTTCTCCATGCATCAGGACTGCAAAAAATGCACCGCAGGCCGCAAATGTTTCTTTTTTTTCTATGTCCCAATATTTTGTGGGCTACAACAATAAAAATAAATAAATAAAAAACAGTTTTGGCTACCTCATCCTTCTCCTCCACCGCCACGGTCACCGCCTCCTCAACCTGTGGGTCACTTAGTATAAACTATGTACACAATAGCAGATGCTTGTGAAGGCCTTTTCTCCGTGCATCAGATGTTGAGCATTTCTCCATGCATCAGGACTGCAAAAAATGCACCGCAGGCCGCAAATGTTTCTTTTTTTTCTATGTCCCAATATTTTGTGGGCTACAACAATAAAAATAAATAAATAAAAAACAGTTTTGGCTACCTCATCCTCCTCCTCCACCGCCACGGTCACCGCTTCCTCAACCTATGGGTCACTTAGTATAAACTATGTACACATTAGCAGAGGCTTGTGAAGGCCTTTTCTCCATGCATCAGGAGTTGAGCATTTCTCCATGCATCAGGACTGCAAGAAATGCACTGCAGGCCGCAAATGTTTCTCTTTTTGAAGGTCCCAATATTTGGGGGGCTACCCCAATAAAAAAAAAATAAAAAAATAATAATAAAAAAAAAAAAAAATATATATATATATATATATATATATATCAAAAACAGTGTTGGCTACCTCCTCCTCCTCCACCGCCACTTCCACCTCCACCGCCACGGTCACCGCCTTCTCAACCTATGGGTCACTTCGCATAATCTATGTACACAATAGCAGAGGCTTGTGAAGACCTTTTCTCCATGCATCAGGAGTTGAGCTCAGTTTGAACAATGAAAGAGAATACCCTGCACTCCAACCCTCTCTCAAATGGATAATTCTGGTGATCCTCCTGACAGCCATGCTTTAGATTTTGATTTATGTTCTTCCAAAGCTAAAATCAAAGATTCCATCTAGTGCTATTTTATGGCTCAGCTGTATTTTAAATTTTTATGTTATTTTAAGTGGTTTCCCTATCCACATTTGTTTGCAGGGCACCTGTCCTACTCTTATTCCCATTTTACTTGCTTTTGCAGCTCTCTAGCCCTTTCCAGGAGTTTTTTAGAGGCATTTTTGAGGCCAAAAGTTTGTGTCCCCATTGACTTCAATAGGGTTTGGGGTCAAGTTCGAGGTCAAGTTCGATACTGAACCCGCTGGACCCGAACATCCAGGTGTCCGCTCAACTCTACTTAGAAGTAAAAGAAAGAAGGGATGTGGCACAGAAGTTAGAAGGAGAACCAGAATAATAGTCAGGCTTCTTTAGGATGGGGCGGACAATTGCAGGACAATTTAGAAAAGTGGGGAGGACTCTTGAAAACAGAGAGAAATATTTTGGTTGTGGGATAAGAGGGTAGAAGTAATGCAGAAACAAGTCTATGAACTTGAAGTGGAGAAAGTCTGGTATGGTATGCAACATTGTTCAAAATTGATTTGTTATCCTTTGAGATAACGAGTGTACTGAGTGTGCCAGTGCGAATGTGTGATTGCTACTTAGAGCAAGCTTTGATTGGAGTTTCCTGTTCCTTGATGGTAGAATGGACAGTGTTATAGAAAGTGATGGTTGGGGCATAATATCTTCACCAGCCCCCAGTCATGGGTGGCAGGTAGGGACTCTAATATTGATAAAGAGTGGGGGACCCAGTTTCCACCCCCAGATCCCACCAATGGAGGGTGGGTATGGGCTTTAATATTGATAACTGGGGGAGAATTAGTGTTCCCCAGCTCCCACTCATGGGTGGCAGGGGGCATTAATTAAATATATTGGAGGGGTAGACATACCATTGTTTGCACCCACAAATAAATTATGTCCATGTTGGCCCATCAAGGGCTCCTTGCAAATGGAGCTTGCATAGCAGTAAAAGTCCTTATAAGTCAGAGTGTTAGTTAGCCAACAGACTGAGATTGCATTTCATGTGGGAAAGCCCACATGAAATGCAATCTCGGTCTGTTGGCTAACAGACAAGCTCAGTGTACACAAGCTCAGTGTACGCAAAACCCTCGATCTGCCAACACAGATTTTTTTTTTGTGTTCCATTTTATTTTTTCCCAGCTGTTTTCCACTTTTGGTGTCGTGTTATACAGTTTTTCTTTTTCATTTTAATAGTAGTTAGTAATTAGTGCATTTTCAATTTTTGTTATTGGAGGATGACTAGGGGCTTGGGGACATCATATATAAGGGACAGTGGACAAAACCACATTTAACCTTGTATATTTAATTAGTGCCTCACATGCTGCCAATAGATGGAGGCTGGGAGGTGGGGGGAGGGACACCGGGCCCTCTAGTTATCCATTTTAGAGCTCCCATCCACAGTTTATTGGCGAGGTCTGGGCGAACAGTAGTTCCTCTCTAGTTACTAATAGATCCCCAACCAGCCATCCATAGTCTTATCAATTATAGCTCTCACCTGCTGGCCATGGGTGTGGGAACAGGGTCGCATTATGTCCTCCCCACGTTTTTGTTTTTTTAATAGATATAGTCACCATGGATAGTAATTGCCCAAAATTCTGACTAATCACGATTCAGTCAAAACAAATTCGCCAAGTCTGGGAGAGATAGAAATGCAATGGGAGTGAATGACACTAAATGCAGCAATAAATTCATACTAGCTAATAATTATGTTGGGCATGTTAACAGAGTGTACAGTAATGGCAGTGTATATAAGAGTAGTATAGAGTTCCTCAGTAGTATGCAGTGTGTTTGAGTATTACAGAGATGTATGATTATGTGCCATGTTTAAGATTGTATCACAGAACAATTGTTTTTTTTAGTATTATTAGTTATTTTTCCATCTTTTGCAATATAGTCTGACTATGGCCATCCTTATGAATGTAGAATGGAATAAAATTTAGTTTTTAGTTAAACATTTATTAAATTACAATAATGTGTATTAAAACAAAAAAGTTGCACACTGTGTTCTTTTGCACTTTATACTTAATATTTATATTTGACTAATTTCCTAGTATTGGATTTCCTGATAATAAAAGAAAATCTACTCCCCAAGCAGTAACTTAACTTGTCATTATTTTGAGTGCTCAGTAGAGGTCACTAAACCATAAAACATGTAGTCTTGGTGAAGCCTGTGACATATTAACATTGTAGATGCACTCCTTTTACTCAAACCTTGCTGACAAATGAAGATTGTCAGGGTTATTCACTAAAGGGAGAATTATTGGAATGTGAATTCAAAGTAAATTTTAAATTTTAGGCCAAAATAGCTGAAATGAAAACAAAGCTAACATGGCCTGGAATTTGGAAATTCCCTTAGAATTCTCTTTGAATTCCTGACAAAAACCTTGTTAGTATAGAACCTAAGCTAAATATTTATTGGTATGCTATATACAATGAAAATGTGCTGAGCACTACTTTTTAAATATGTTTTTGCAAAAGGTTGACAGAAACAATATCTTGTAAAAGTACAAGGCCTCAGGCTCCCAACTGGCATTAAATAGCTAAATAGGAAACCATAGAAACTGCCAATCACCATTGCTTTTTACTAGGTGGAGTCATTATTTCATGGGCATAATAAATTCTACATCTAGTAAGACCAGGCTAAGCATAAGAGTTGACTATTTACCTTGTCATCACATTATGCTTTTTTCTTTTGTGAAGCAGAAAGTAAAATGTTGTGGTAGTGAAAGGGTTAATTGTACTAGTAAGACTGTACTTCTGGTCTCACGAGACCTAGCATTTCCACTAAATAAAATGGATTTTGAAGTCATAAAACCACAAAGTTATTTATTAAATGACAGATATTGCAACATTTTCCAATGGAGCAATTCCACTCAAGTAAGAACCTTTTATTATTTAGGATTACGTCAATGTTACTCCAGTTAGTAAATATTATTTTTTTTGCCATTGTCTTGTCTCAGCACCAATTTTCTTAACATCAGGCTCTAGTAAATTAATCTACGTAATAATGTTTACACGCCATATAATAGCTTCCTTGCTTCTCACAATCGTTTACCGACAAGTTGTAAATTGCAAAAATGACTGTAGCTGTTGCTAGTGATTACTGTCTATTTGAATGCTATAAAACTTATCATTTAATGACTGGTAATTAGCTGGTGCCAAATGTTTTAATATCTTCCATAGAGATTAACATGAGTTGTTAATCCCCAACATTTGGGTTCTATTCCAAACAGTAAAACTTACCACATATCATTATTTGCAGAAAAATGACATCTTCCTCATCTAGGTGGAAATATAAAAAGTGAATGATTATAATCTCTTAATATATACTATATTAAAAAAAATATGTATTTGAAGAGCCCCCTGAAAAGCGTGTCAGTGGGAAAATGTGACTTAAGGCATGGATACTCAGCGAATAGAGCAATTTAGAGGGATACTAGAGGCACCCAGACCACTTCAACTCATTGAAGTGGTCTGGGTGCAGTGTTAACTCGGAAATGGTAATTATTGCAGTTGGAGTGTTAACTCCACGTCTAGTGGCTTCCTACTGTAGATCTTATATTTTATGCATGTTTTGAGAGGACTGGAAGGAGTCCTTTTTGTCAGATTCTACAGAGTGAGGTATAAATTTGTATAGGTAAAGTGTCCACTTGTTTGTTTTTTACCTCCTCACTTTATGTCTTTCCACTTGTGATTGTTAAGGGTGTTTCTATTGTATTATATTCACCTCTAGTGGCTGTCTACT